ACAGGGAGCTTCTGTGACTGCGGGAAATGCAAACGGCTGAAGTTTAAGAAAGACACAATGAAAACTACACATGTTCGCAAACCCACCTAAAGTTACAAATGTTGATCCAACAGCTGAGATAAATCGAATGTTTTTAGAGAGAGTGCTGAAAGACTCAGTGGATCAGCTGTTTTTAATGGCCTGAATATTGATACGTTGTATTCACTGCCCGTTCAGCGCAAATGGCAGCTAAATGTAAAATCTCTGTTGCTCATTTGCAGGAAGACAATGAAGGCTCTTGTGTTGAGCCCAGAAATAGAGCAATGGTGTTTCTTTGGTGACATCACTTTGACTCACACGCTGAAAATGGCGGACTTGAAACAACAAACCGAGGATATGGTAATGCTCGCCTGTCAATCAATATTGGTGTGCAGGGGGACCTCTCCAATTGATCCACCATTTTATGTTGTTTAATTGATTTAAAAAAGGACTGTGGTGTTAATATTACCCCAATATGACTGTCTATACACTATACCTACACACATTTCTGTCCAAACAGCTTTAAAAGTAGATTTTTCACCATAGGTGCCCTTTAAATGAACTATTGACTCTAAGCAGGTTCATCACGCTTTGTTGCTCCCCAAAACATTTCCATGACGATCTGCACTATTTGTGGTTTGTTTCTGTATTTTCTTGAGAATTTGTGTTCAAGTGTTGCCAAATTGACGATATTTTCTCAATTCAACGTTTTCCTATAAACGTGATTTCCAATCCCTTTCTGCTACCCTAAAGTTAGGCCGTACTCACACTATGTACAGTTGCCTTGAACCGGCCCAAAGCACGCTTGTCCCCCCTGCCATCTCCCCCGACGGCCCGCACTTACATTGCATTCGGGCCTGGGCATGGTTACGTCATCGTAAGCACTCTCGCTCAGCACAGTGGAGATTTCTTTAGTCATATGGTTTGGGATGCGGTGACACGCAGTCAAATGTTTCCCCGAACAGATCTGCCACTTTTGACGCTCATAAACAACCATAAAGTCCACGTGCTGCAGGAATTAGGAGGTTTGCTGAAGGTGCGCAGCTGTCGTGCAGTAAGGGGTTTGCGTCTTTAACAATCGATGACAGTTTGCGTTCATTGAACAGTGAGAATGATTAATAAATCCATATGAAACAGTCCCTTGAAAGTCACGTCTTGCTTTCAGTTTGGGCTTTGGCCAAAGCCCAAGTGAACTGTGCTCAGGCACACCTCTTCCAACCGGGCCAGGGCCGGTCAAGCCCGATTCAGAGCACTCACACTTCTCAAACGATCCGGGAAACGGGCCTGGGCACGGTTCGGATAGCATAGTGTGAGTACACCCTAAATCTCTAAAAGTTTTCGATGCCTGACTTGATGCTTGTTTTCTAAAGATCAGTTGCTCTAGAATGTATCATTTGTTTTGGATTTAGATTTTGCTTAGACAAGGCAAATTTATTTATCTATATAACACATTATATACCCACTGGTAATTTAAAGGGGTTTCACAAAACATGAATTAAAGAAATAAATATAAGAAAATTAAGGCAAAAAAGAATAAAAATGATCTAAAACAGATAAAAACATATTCAAATGTGTTAAAAATGATTTAAAAATGTTTATATTTGTGTTCACAATAAAAAAAATAATAATAATGAAATGCCAGTGTGTTTCAAACTAGCCTAGGTTGGCCACTTTGCATTATCCACCCTCTAATGTTATTTGTCCTCAGCCTAGAGGAGAATATGCCTTGTTTACAGCTGAATCAATGCCACATAAACAGAAATGCTAATTGCCATGAATGGACGTGAGCCAGACAGACCAGGAGCTTGTTAAAGCCGCATCTGCATGTGGGCACCATGAGTCAGTCCAGACATCAGTGCGATGCGGAACTGATTTAAGAGTCCCTCATCATACACTGTAGAGCACAATCAGAGCTTATAATTGGTCGGTGACGGTTTCCATGCTGGGCTTTTTAAGCCATTATAGTGATATTGTGATCCACAGATGTAAAACTGAGGAGGAGGCAGCCAGCATTTAATTTCGAGTTTCATCATAACATCCACTCAAAAGCATGCGCAAGAAACTTACAGCTTTTTCTGCGTTGTATCTATAGTGCTGCCTTCACCTGCATTGACCCTTATGGATGAAAACAGTCCAGAATAAAACACCCAGTCTTAAATGCAGCTGTAACAGAAAGAACAAAGAGATCACTCTCTATGACGTCCGCATTGCTTTATCATCGATAGACACATTCCCTGAGACGGGATGTGCAGCTCTTCAACAGCAAGTCAATGGCATTGATTTGTTAGGGTGCGGAGGCTGGGACATAATTGAAGTTTGCAACCGGGTTCTCTCTGTGTGTTCGGGTGTTTGACTTGTGGAAACAGAATACAACTGAGGCTTCAATCTCGGAAGCTGGTGATGGGGAAATCAAAGGCTAGAGGACATGGTGTTTGGTACAAAGTGTCACAAAGTCAATTGCAGCAATGTGACCTGATCACAATCCCAAATGTAACATAACAGTCAGCTGCAGAGCTTTTCCTTTGATGCTGTGCTAACATCAGAGTTCTAAAAGTACACGTTGACTCTTGGTCAATGTTTAATGCATGTCAGTTCTGGTGAAGTGTACAATTATAGTGACATACTGCAGGTTGTATTGCAGTTTTGCTAATACGCAACACCCAAAGGGACTAGATATCCTCACAGGTGTCAAATAATGGAGAGAATGGACAAGTGGTAAATGAATGCCATCTAGTGCCTTTAGTTAGAAATATACTTGTGTAACTGGTGTCTGTGACTGTTGCTTTTTTGGATGTTTGTGTTTGTCTGTGACTTGGTTGTCAACCAGAAAATGATCCATATAAAGTAACTGCCATCTTAATCCTAATTTTAGTGGCAGTTATTGTGCAATTGTATTTCTGTAAGTCAACAGAAGGGCTTTTGTGCTATGTGTAACTGTTTACAAAATACAGCACCAGTTGCCTATGCAAAATTTTAACAATATTAAACAGTTTTAGAATGACTGTCATAATGTGGTTGGTCATGTATAATGTTGTATATGTTTATCAAGACCCATCAGATCGTTCAGAAATGAATTCTGGCATTTAGAGCGGAAAATATGATCACATGTTGCCCTCTGCTGTCTGTTACCCGCAGTTACTGTGAGAACCCTCCTGTGTGTGTGTGTGTGTGTGTGTGTGTGTGTGTGTGTGTGTGTGTGTGTGTGTGTGTGTGTGTGTGTGTGTGTGTGTGTGTGTGTGTGTGTGTGTGTGTGTATATATATATATATATATATATATATATATATATATATATATATATATATATATATATATATATATATATATATATATATATATATATATATAACCCTATATACCTTTACATTTTAAATAATAATAATAATAATAATTATTATTATTATTATTATTATTATTATTGTATTTTATATAATATTTCAGTTAAATTAATTCTGTAATCATTCATTTGTAGTTTGCAAAACATAAAATAAATAAATAAATAAATAAATAAATAAATAAATAAATAAATAAATGAATGCAAGGCTTTATACACCGATAATTTTAAAGTGTGAAATGTATTATCAAATTAGTCTTCATGTGCGACAAAGGCTTTAAAATACCCTTACAAAATCTATACTCATAATTATTAATAACATATAATGCTAAATATTTTCTTCCATTCAACATAAAAATCTAAATCTAAATAAATTAGAAATTTATTTTAATGATTCCAAAGTTTGTTTGTTTTTTTTGTTGTTTTTTTTTGGTGTTTGTTTTTTTTTTTGTTTGTTTTGTTTTTTTCGCAGTGATGCCAAATAATGTTTTAATTAATTGATCCTAAAAACTAACGTTGTGTTAAGAACATGGGATAATAGTCTAAGTAACTTTTCATGGAATAACCAATATCAATAATATCTTTGTGTTAAGAGTGTGATTGTTGACAAACTGTTACAATTTAAACCTCTAATTAGACATCTGATTACAGTAACCAATTAGGATTCAGTTGGTGAATTTAATCAGCCACAATATTTTATTGCATTAACAATGATTTAAAAATAATAGCATACCTTATTTTTGTAGATTATGTCTGTATTCTGGTGTAAATGAGAGGTGATATCTAATCTGAGATATCAGTTTATTTCATTGTATTGTCTTGCTTGTGGCAATTCTCTTGCACCAGTGTCAATTTCTCTATCAGACCTCCAGGTGGCAAACTAAGAAACTCAGCCTGAAAAAAAATTCACATAATCTGTAGCCTACAATTTGTGAGACCTTGTGATTATATTTATTTTATTTTGTTATTTTACTTTAAAAAAAATAACAAAACAGGTGTTATATATACATATATATATATATATATATATATATATATATATATATATATGTGTGTGTGTATGTATGTATGTA